CGGACCTCACAGCCCTAAAGGGACCTCACAGCCCTAAACGGACCACACAGCCCTAAAGGGACCTCACAGCCCTAAACGGACCTCACAGCCCTAAATGGACCACACAGCCCTAAACGGACCACACGGCCCTAAATGGACCTCATGGCCCTAAAGGGACCACACGGCCCTAAAGGGACCTCACGGCCCTAAAGGGACCACACGGCCCTAAAGGGACCACACGGCCCTAAACGGACTTCACGGCCCTAAAGGGGCCTCACGGCCCTAAAGGGACCACACGGCCCTAAACGGACTTCACAGCCCTAAACAGACCACACCGCCCTAAACGGACCTCACAGCCTGAAAAGAAAAGCATTCCATCCTATAATTAGAAGACAAAATGAAAATATTCTCACATTTGCAAAACCTAAAAAAAAAAGTTTCTCAAGAAGCTACTGGAAAATGAGTAAAATTAAAGAGTAAAAACAGCAATGTGGGAAGAATTAAGTGTCAGGAAAAACAATGACATGTTTAGGTTCTGATGGAGACTTTCTACTGAGCAAAGGCTCTCCATCACGAGCCAAGGCACAGGCAGACTGAGGAAATACAAAGATGGCTTGAGCGTGTCAGAGCTTGTGAAGACAGCACAGGGTAGGCCAAGGTTCAGATGTGTCATTCATAGGGTCGCTATGAGTCATAATCAACTCAATGGCACCTAACAACAACAACAGTAGCATTCAGTGACATGGTTTAGAAATAACCTTTCTGCTTTAACGAAATGTGACTGTGTACTAATGCAAAGTAACCCCTGCAGAAACATGGTATCTGATTCGTTCTGACAAGCTTTCTCAAATACTGGAGGAAGAGAGGGAGAGTGGGATCAGAGGAGCATGCCAAGAATTAAATCCAAGTGTGTGGAATGCCCGAGAGAGTTCTGATGAGAAAAGCAGGTAAGAACTGCTGCTGCTCTAAAGAACAGATGCACTGGATGACAGTAACAGTTGCAAAAGTAGAAGGAATGTCAAACATTTATTAATCCCATACCACGTGCCAGGGACATACCTCTATGTATTTTTTAAATCTTGCATGTAATCTCATTTGGATCACTATAATCACTTCACGATCAATCGCACCGAATGTATCCTCACTCTCCAACAATCTATTCTGAACATGGCAGCCAGATCTTTGTGTTTTGCCTTAACAATAATTATTCTTCTGCTCCTATGACTCCCATTTAATGCAAAACAAAGCCCAAATCCGTCTAACAGTCACAAAGGTCGGGTGTGGTGTTGTCCTCACAGTCTTCCTGAGGTCATGGCTCGGCCTCCTCCCTGGGGTTACATGCTAACCCCAGCCACTGACCCTCATGCTGTTGGTTGAATCCGCCAAGCACACCACACCCGAGTGCGTTTGTTTGTGCGACTCCTTCCCTATAGCACTTTTCCCTCCAGATACATTTCTTCTATTCCCCGCTCAACCCGAAAGGTCTTTCAAAACCACTCCAGTTCCACAGCAGCAATGGAGACACTGAGTGTAGGATTACTGTGAACCAGCCACCTTCCTACACGTTTCAATCTTTTTTTTTATTTTATTATTTAGTGTGTGTGTGTGTGTGTGTGTACCGTCAAATCAGATCTGACTGGTACAGGAGGAGATTGTTCCTCCTTCTCCAGCAGAGCATCTGGTGGATTTGAACCGTGCACCTCTGGGATTGCAGTGCAGCTTCTTGCCACTAGGCCACCAGAGCTCGCCACATTTCAATTTTTTATTAAAAACTACTCAGTCCCGCTAGATGCTCTGCTGGAAAAGGAGGGACAATCTTCTCCTCCTGTACCAGTCAGATCCGATTTGAAAGTACACACACACAAAATAATAAAATAAAATAAAATTCAAAAAAACACCCTACTCAGTCTTCAGGAGCAAAAGAGAAAGAAAATCAAGGATTCAGAGAAGAAATTTGTCTACAGGATGAAAAGTCTGCAAAAACAATGGTCTCATTCAACAGTAATGAATATTTAAAAAATTTAAGGGAGCTCTGGTGGTCTAGTGGCTAGAAGCTGCACTGCAATCCTAGAAGTACACGGTTTGAATCCACCAGATGCCCTGCTGGAGAAGGAGGGGCAATCTCCTCCTGTACCAGTCAGATCTGATTTGATGGTACACACACACAAAAATAATAAAATTTTTAAAAAAATTTTTAAAAAGAAAGTGAACTGGGGGCAGGAATGTGCAACAATGACTGAATGAACGAATGAATGAATGAAAATCCAACTTTTCTGTAAACTTTCATTAAAATCACAATTAAAATAAAAAATTTATTTTAAAAACAAATGGTCTCATATCATCTGAGACTTGACATAGACGGTACCTGACTACCACTACAGACCATTCTGATCTGATCAGGGTCACAATGACAAATTCTGACAGAATGGAGGGCAAAATGTGGAAAACAACTCAAATTCTTAAGTCCAGACTTACTAGATAGGTTGAGACTAGCAAAAACCCCTAAGACTATGGCCCTGAGGTACCCATTAAACTTTGAACTGAAACAACATCCTGGGGTTGCCTTTTAGATGAAATAGCAAATTGGCTTATAAAATAAAGATTACCTGTAAATACTGTGCTCCTTAAAAAAAATCATCTATATGAAACCAAAACAGTCAACAATTACTCTAAAGCAACAGGAGAAAGAGAGCAGGAAAGCTAAATTACTGGACCCAAAACAACCAGAAAAGAAATGATTATTGATACTTTGTGAAAAACGTAACCCATGTGAGTAAAGAATGTCTTCAGTGAGACCATAAACTGCTCTGTAAACTTTCACTAAACGCGGTAAAATGAGACTACTTGGTGCTAAAACTATTCCCAGTTATAAAATTACTAAATGATGTGTGATGATGTTTAAAACTTCACGAGGAATACATACCTGCAGTTGTTGAAGATCATCCTCCTGAATGTTCTGGGACAAATTATAAATCTAGAAAATAAAAGAATCCAACTTGATCTCACTCTGGTTTACTTCAGGAAAATGTCGTACAAGTCTAAGGCTTTATTCAGTTAAAGGTTTGCAAATAACAAGATCTGCTCAAGCACTAATCGCATCTATATTTGGAAAACGATACACTTAAGGTTGAAGTCATAAAATTCTTCCCTCAGTTTTAAAAAGATATTTTTAAACTGATTCTTAGCAAATCAACATTTTCTCTAAGATACAGTTCTCACTGCAATTTTTCAGAATTTTCTGAAGAACATTTTATATATAATTAGGAGCAAAGTGGATAAAACCAATTAGCTCTTAAACTTTTTTTTTAATTGAGCCAAAGGTTTGATGAATTTTTTGTTAGCTCTTAATCTTTTTCTTTTTCATTATTTTTTTATTTTATTATTTTTGCGTGTGTATGTGCACCGTCAAATCCGATCCAACTGGTACAGGAGGAGGTTGCCAGATTGTCCCTCCTTCTCCAGCAGAGCATCTGGTAGATTCAAAGCACCTGCCTTTGGGATTGCAGTGCAGCTTCTTGCCACTAGGCTACCAGAGCACCAGCTCTTAGCCTTTTAAAGCTTGACTTATAATTAATAGTCTCCTTAGAGTTCTGATAACCAAAAAACTAAAACGAGAGCCCTCTATTTCATTTTCTATTCCTCGTCAAGTGGTTTTACCTGCACAGAACTAGTCATTGTGCTCAGGGCGAAGATGGTGGCGCAATCTTTCACAGTGGACTGGCTGTCAAATGCCCCCTGAGTGTCCATCAGAATAACTGCAACCTTCAAAGAAAAAACATGGAATTAAGGAGGGGGAAAATACAGGTGATGCTTTAACAAGCCTTGGACACCTGCTCACAGGTGAGCTAAAGGAAAAGTAAGATTATTTCTTTGCTCTGCTCTGACCAAGAGCTTAGCTAGCAAACCCCAACTGTTCTGACCTGGTGGAATGGAACAAAATAAGGGCCTAACAGGCACTACAGAAAGGAAACCTCATGACTCCATCAATCCAACCGGCTAAATGTTGAAGCCGATTGACTCACTCACCCAGCTATTCATTCATAGCAATATTTTGTTTAAAAAAAATTAAATGTTAATTTTACTTAGTTTAATTCACTCAGCCAGCCAGTCATTTATATCAATATTTTTGCTAAAAAACTTTAAATGTTAATTTTACTTAGTTTAGAGATGATCAATAAAAATTAAATGTAAGAAGAAAGATATTGTTGGCACCTATCTCCAAGACTGTACTTTTCTTGTGAATTTCTAGAGTTTTCTGGTTGCTTAATTATATTATGATATAATTAACATATGGAGCTCTGGTGGGCTAGTGGGAAGAAGCTGTGCTGCAATGCCACAGGCACGTGGTTCAAATCCACCAGCTGCTCCACCGGAGAAGGATGGTAATCCCCTCCTGTGCAATTTAATGCCTCTGAAAAATCTGCTGAAGGGTCAGCTACAGGTCAATTCCAACTCGATGGCAAACAACAATTACATATAATAGAAAATGAATCTCTAGTAAAAATACTATAAGAGACTGACCACACCAAAGATATTAAGGAGAATCTAGGCTGTCATTACAGTCCACAAAACACAACTAGGTTGAAAAATAAAATACCTACCACTCATGAAAAAAAGAAGACAAAACAAAACACAAAAAAACCACAACCAGGCTTCATGAATCCTCAACTTTCCAACTGGCTATCCATTCCCACCCTATAAATGAGGTTTACGCAAGAAGTTAAATAAAACATGTGTTGCCAGGTGCCTTCAGATCCGCTCTAACTCACAGCAACTTTATAACAGAATGCAGCCCTGTCCGGTCCTGTGCCAGCCTCACACCCTCTGCTGTGTGTCAGCCCACTGCTGTAGTCACAGTGCCAAGCCTTAAGGGTCTGGTTCTTTTTCACGACCCTCCTCTGTACCAAGTGGATGTCCTTCTACCTTGAATAGAGTGAAACCCTCAGGGCTGTGTTCTTTCTCCAGACCTATCCAATCTGTATGCTGACCAAATCTGACAAGCTGGACTCTATGAAGTGTGAGATCAGGATCAGAAGAGGACTCAACAACAACCTCATTTTGCAGATGACACACCTCGCTTGCTTAAAGTGAGGAGGAGCTCTGGCTGCAGAAGATCAAAGAATGTAGCTTCAATATGGATTGCATCTCAACATCAAGAAAACTAAAATCCTCACCATGCAGCTTACAGGCAATAGATAGATAGATAGATAGATAGACAGACAGACAGGCAGAAAGACAGAGAGATGGATGGATGGATGGATGAATGGATGGATGGGTGGATGGATGGGCAGAAAAAAGACTAACTGTCAACGATTTCATCTTACTTGGATTCGCAATCAACACCTTTGATATCAGCAGTCAAGAAATCAAAAGATGTATTGCAATGGGGAAGTCTGCAATCAGGGACCTCTCCAAAGTACTAAGGAACAGTGATGTAAATTTAAAGACTAAGGTGTAGTGATACAAGCCATGGTTTATTCAATCACTTGCTATGCAACTAAGATTTGAATAATAACTAAGGATGAAAGAAGAATTGATGCCTTTGAGTTGAAGAACCGTACCAAATATCACATGGTTGTCAAAAGAACAAACAGATTGTCTTGGAGAAAGTGCTGCCAGAGGATTCCTTGAAGGTAAAGATGGCAAAGCTTTGTTACACAGACTTGGGGCATGTGGTTAGGAGAGGCTACTCCCTGTAAATAGACATTATGCCTGGAAACGTGGAGGGTCAGAGAAAGAGAGGAAGACCCTCAACAAGATGGACTGACACAGTGATTGCAGCCATGGGCCCAAGAGTATCAGAGACGATGACAATGGCGCAGGACAGGCCAGAGTACATAGGGTTGCTATGAGTCATACTCAACTGGGCAGCACCTAATAACAACAACAGTCACAGGAAACTTTATCTTGTCCGCACTTAATGCACAATCAAGAAAAATCATGGCTGTACAACTGGGTATCATATGCAAAAAGAGTTCTATTTTACCTTTTCCTCATATCATATACAAAAAATTAAAAGTCCATCAAAGATCTAACTGTAAAAGAACTATAAAAATTTTATATAGAAAATAATAAATAAAATTTCATATAGAAACATGGGAATTCTCTGTGACTTGGAGTAAGCAGTAGTTCCTTAGATATGACACCTACAGCACAAGGAAAATGAAATAGACTTCACCAAAATATAAAACATTTATAGCTTAAAGGACACATAAGAAAGTGGAAAGATGTACACCCATGTTTATTGTTGCATTATTCACAACAGCAAAGAGATAGATGTAACCCACGTGCCTATCAGCAAACAGATAGAATGGATAGAAAAACTATGGTATAGTCACACAATGGAATACTATACAGCACTGAAAAACAAGACACCTATAAAATATTATACAACATTATGCTGAGTGAAATATCTCAGTCACAAAAGGACAAATACTGCATAATGTCACTGTTATGAAACAGGACTGACATGAGGGTTAGAGAAAACGGAGAAAAGAAGGGATAAATAATGAACACTGCATCAGAACAGATAAAGGGAAGAACTGTTTAAAAGGAATATGTAATTAGGCATTACCTCTGCATAGCAAAGTGGACTGGGGTAGAGAGAGGAGGGAGGAAATCATGCAACAATGAATGAGTTGGGGGGTAGGGAGGAAAAGGAACAATAATGAATGCATGAAAATCCAATTTTTCTGTAGACTTTAATTAAAATCATAATATAAAGGGAAGGAAAGAAAGTGAAAAAGACAACCTACAGAATGGAAGAAAATAGATGTAAAAGTATCTTTAATAAAGGGGTAGTGCATAGTCATGTTTCTCATGGCTTTGTTCACAATAGCAAAGAGCTGTAAACAACCCAAATGCCCATCAAAAAACGGATAGAGCAGCTCTGGTATATTCACACAATAGAATACTACGCAGCACTGAAAAATAAGGAACTCATGAATTATTATACAAAATGGGTAACCCTGGCAGACATTATGCTGAGTGAAATATCTCAGTCACAGAGGGAACAAATGCTGCATTAATGCCACTGTTGTAAAGTGAGACTGACATGGAGTTAGGGGGAGACTGAGAAAAGAGGGGATAAATACTGTATACTGCACAGAAACAGATGAGGGGGAGAACAGTTTAAAAGGGATATATGATTAGGTATTATTTTCATGACATGAATCCAGAACGAAGGCTGCATAGTGGAGTGGACTCGGGGAAGAGGGATTGTGTAACAATGAAATCATTTTTCTTTTACTTTTCAAAGAGCTGAGGGTGAGGGATGGGCAGGGAGAAAAGTGCAACAATGAATGGAAATCCAAAGTCTCCGTAAACTTTCATTAAAATTAATTAAATAAAATTGAAGAAAAAAAAGAGAACAAAAAAAATTTAAATAAAGGGCTAGTAGGATGCACGATGTGAAAAACTTTCACAACATAAAAATAAAAAGACAAATAAATGTACAAAGGATTTTAATCCCTCCAAATAAGATGCACAAAGAAGTGCAAGAAAAGATGCCCCCTATCATTAGTCATCAGGGTTTTTACATATGAAACCACAATGAGGTATCATTTCTCACTCACTAGGACGGTTACTGGTGGCCTGGTGGTAAGGAGCTGTGCTGCCAACCTAAAGGTACATGGTTCAAACACATCAGATGCTCTGGGGGAGAAAGATAGGTCATCTCCCCTCATGTGATTTACAGCCTATGAAAATCCACAGAAGTGTCAGCCATGAGTCTGTTTCTATTCAACAGTACCTAACAACAGGATGTTGACAATAAAATAGATAATATCAAGTATTAGCAAGTACGTGAAAAGATTAGAGCCTCGTGTTTTGATGAGAAGGATGCTGGGTGACACAGCTGCTTTAGGGAGCAGCCTGGAGAAGTTCCTCAAAAGTTAATCTGGGAGTTGCCATATGCCCTAGAAACTCCACTCCTTGATAGACACCCAAGAGAAGAGAAAATGTTCACATACATGTAGACAAATGTTCATCACAGTAATAACCAAAGTACTCAAATGTCCATCAACAAATGCACAGATAACAAAATGTGGCATGTTCATTCAATGGGTATGACTGAGCCACAGAAGCGAGTGAAGCACTGAAGCGAGCCTCATCATAAATGGCCCTGGAGGACACTGGGCTGGGAGGGGGAGCTCAGACACAATGGAAACACACTGCAATGCCATTGTAAGGAATGCCAGAAAAAAGCAGACAGAGCCCCTGAGAAGAAAAAGACTAGAGGTTACCAAGGGCTGGTGGAAAAGGAGGACAGAGAGCAATTGCTGCAGTCACAGTTTCTTTCTGGTGACAGTGGCCTGGCCCTGGAAGTATACAGCGAAAGGACTTTCAGAGTCACAAAGCCATGGGAATTAAATCTTAATTTTCAAGAATGAATCATGCCATGACCTGCTAACTATAGAAGTGAACCTAAAGAGAGGAAACACAGGAAAACTGCAAAGAGAAGCTGTTTGAAAAGTGAGTCATATAGATGCTCGGATGATGGGCTGGACAATTGGGAGGAAATGGCATTACACCACCCTGCAGTGAAGTAGCAAACTGCCACATCCACTTTCAAGAACAATATGGCAGGAGCGAGGATAAGGGAAAAGCAGTCGCTCCTGTGAGCCTTTCTATTGCCAAGAACCCACAGTAGGAAATACACTTTACATCATGATTCAAATATATACACAAAGCTGAAAGTAAACGTGCATGTGTTCTGCATCGTTTATGGTAGGTATCTCCAGAAATGTAAAAATATGTCGAGT